AACTGTACTGTATTTACAGATTCCAGTAGTTTAGATTCAAGGAAAACATCTCCAGCACCCAGAAACATTCTGGGGAAGTGGGCTAGTGTGTATCTGTGCAAGAGGCCTAGTTTAGATACTCAGAACTTTCCCAGTATTGTACAGTTGTCCCTCGGTTAACAAACGCCTCGGTTAACGAAATTTCGGTTAAAGAATTAACTTCCATAAGAATATTCAATTCGGTCAACTAAAAAAAATTCGGTTAACGCATTCCTTACGAATTCCTCTCAACATGTTTTCGCTTGCTCACCAGCTGGAATATTAGTCCGCCAATACAGTAATCGGTTCTAGGGCTTAAATTCGTTCCCATTTGAGTAAATATCAAGAAGGTTGTACTATTCAATAATTTTCAAAGTTTTACATTAAAATTTTTTAGTCATTTTAACAATTATTTAACATAACTGAAGTACAGGAAACTAGTTTTTAGCGTGCCAAACAGCCACTCAACACACCAAGCAGGCGTCAGTTTGTATCTCTGGTCAACAGAGGTAACATCTTGCTTGAGACACTCTTGAACAAACTATTTTTAAATTTTTAAAGTACAATTATTGGTCATTCTGAAATTTATTTTACATGTTGATAATAAATAGCACAGTGCAGTGTTGATTTACAGAAAATAATCTTTAATTACAGCTAGTAAACTTAAAACTCTAGTGGTGAAATTTCTGTATTAAATCCAGCATGGCTCCAAAGAAATCGAGAAAGGCGATTTCAATTCAAGTGAAACAGGAAATCATAAGAAACATGAAGAAGGCATTAGAACAAATGTACTTAGTAAAGAATATGGCATGTTGGCATCAACTGTGTTGACGATTCTTGCACAGAAAGACAAGTTCAAAGAGTGAAAGTGAGAGACAAATCTACCAGAGTGTTTAAAGGTAGATCATTAATAGCAGAAACAGAGAGGTTACTTCTCATTTGGATTAGGGAAAAACAAATGAAAGGAGATTCAGTTTCTACAGAATTTATTTGTGAAAGAGCCAGGGAGATTTACGAACATTTGAAGGAAGACCAACCTGGTTCTTCTGGCACAGAGTTTGAAGACTTTAGGGCCAGAAAGGGCTGGTTCGAAAAATTTAAGAAAAGAAGTAACATTTTTAGTGTTGTTAGGCATGGTGAAGCTGCCAGTGCAGATAAAGAAGGAGCAGCAAAGTTTGTAGTGGAGTTTAAGAAACTGGTGGAGGAAGAAAATTATCTTCCACAGCAAGTGTTCAATGTGGACGAAACTGGGCTGTTCTGGAAGAAAATGACCAAAAGGACATTCATCACCAGAGATGAAGTCTCTTTACTAAGGCATAAACCCATGAAGGACCGTCTCACTCTATTGCTTGGTGCCAATGCTTCAGGGGATTTCCCACTGAAGCCTATGCTTGTCTACCACTCTGAGAACCCCAGGGTGTTCAAGCAACAGAAGGTGGTAAGAGGACAACTTGGAGTTTATTGGAAGTCTAACCGTAAGGCATGGGTAACAAGACAGCTGTTGAGGTGTTGTGCCCTTCTGTGAAGAGCTACCTAACCACCAATAAACTCCCTTTAAAGGCTCTTCTCCTTATGGATAATGCCCCTGGTCATGACCCTCAACTTGCCAGCACTTTGGAGGCTAGATATGACTTTGTTAAAGTGTTGTTTTTGCCTCCCAACACTACATCAATTATACAGCCAATGGACCAGAATGTGATCAGCAACTTCAAGAAGCTGTACATGAAGAAAATGTTCAGGTGGTGTTATCAGGCAACTTCCACTGATCCTGAACTAACACTGGCACAGTTCTGGAAGACACAATTTAACATCATGGAGGCTGTAAAATTGATTGTGTCCTTATGGCGAGAAGTCTCCATTAGATCCCTCAATTCTGCATGGAAAGCAGTAGCCATCAGCAGTCCATGATTTTGAGGAAGAAACGGAGTTGGACAAGGAGATTGTGTCCATTGGTCAGTCATTGGGCCTCGAAGTGGAGGAGGATGATGTGGAAGAGTTTGTGATGACTAATGAGCAGGAAATAACTACTGAAGACTTGCAGCAACTGGATGAGATGTTAGAAGCTGACAGTGGTGAGGAGGAAAGGGAAAGTGATGACCATATGTCTTCTTCAGACTTAAAAGATGTTGTTCACCACTGAGAGATGTTCAGGAAACTGGCTTCAAGGCACCCTGATGTGGAAACAACAGAACCTATTTTGTGTAATGTTGAGGACACAGTGGTCTCCTTCAAAAATCAGTTAATGATGAGGAGGAGAAATGCCCCACAAACAAAAATTTACATTTTCTTCACTAAAAGGCAGCGGGAAAAAGATGCTACCCCTCGGCCTTCCAGTTCAAAAAGAAGAGAGGATTTTCCTGCTGGAGAATCTGTTAGTCCAGAGGTTCCTGACATTATTATAGAAGGTGACTCACCTTCCAAGAAGCAGTACAATGCTTCTCCTCCACCTCCACTTCATTCTCTTCTCCCTTCTCCTCCTCCACCTCCCATTTCAAATTCACATCAGCATCATCACCCAGGAGCCTTCTACATACACACCTCAAAGTAAGTGTACTTTACTGCATTTTGTTTTTACTTTATGTAATTTTTGGTGAGCTGGAACCAATTACCCAAAATCCCATTGAAACAATGGTTTCGGTTAGCAAAACTTTTAGTTAACGAACGACCTTCTGGAATGAATTGTGTTCGTTAACCACTGTAATTGGAAAAGGTTCCAGGGATAAGGAATTTTTTCCGGGTATGAGAAAGTCGTCTCGTTACAGTAGGGTCGGGATATATAGCGACTTTATATAACGATTTGTTTATATCGCGGCTACCAAAATTATTGAAATTTTCCTATATATAGCGATAATTTTTTTTTAATTCGTGAGGGAAATCGGGCAGGAAATATTTCAAATTTATCACGACTACCAAAATTATCAAAACTTTCCAATATATAGTGATAAATTTATTTACAGTAGACTCACAACTTACTCGGGGTTAAGTTCCTGAGACCTCACATAAAGCCAAAAACCGTATAAAGTCAAGAAACGCTCTTAAAAATACCCTAAATAGCCCCAAAAAAATGAGTTGAAAACTTTTTCACTCTTGTGCAAAATATCTGATTTCTATACTTTTTTAATCAAATTATTCGCTGCCTTGCAAGGATTCCAGCAATGCAATTTATATTCTGCTAACTTTAGACTGTCATTTTAGGTCAAGTTTAGTCACCTTTATTGGCCTCAAGAACCTAACCCTATTTTCCCCACTGATTACTGTTATTATATATCGCGATTTAGTAATTGGCGAACATCCATGGGCCCTATCTCGTGATATATCCCGACCGTACTGACCCGGAAATCTCTCATCCCTGGAAGTGCTCTGCACCAATTGTTCCGGCTAGCAGGGATATCACTGCACTGTATATGAAGGGTACAGGTATTAATAAGCACAGATTATTATAGTAATGTATCTTTACTAATTACTGAAAAACATGTAAACAATATTGTATATGAATGAGGCAGTACAGTGGACAAACAATCCGTAAGGGGACCCTTGAGGGGGTCATATTCCACTGGACCCAACCCCTCTCCTTACCTCACAGTATTCATTAAAAACTTCTTTTTGTGTTAGAGAAATGAATTTGATACCTCAATGATCCTGAATAAATTCTCCGACACATTTCCAATATGGTATTCTTAAATGACAAACCAAATAATAAGGTAAAAATAAGTATTTTACTGTATATGAAGGGTACTGGTATTAATAAGCTCAGATTATTAGTTTCTATCCCCAAGGGTCTCTTTGACCATCAGTCTCTATGTACAGAACTAAACAAAGAATTTATTTGAAATACTCTAACATTCAATGCCATAATATCCTGACCACTGGGACTAGTTATACAGACTTTTCCCCATGAAAATGCCATAATTTTGAGCAATATATTACTTAACTCATTTTGTACTCAGTGTACTACTGTATACTAAGCAAAACGACTAAAAAATTTATCTCGTACAAACTAGGAGATGTTTATACTCAAATTAATCGCTATCTTACGAAAGCTTGAATTTGCTGCCAGAGTTTAACAGTTAATTCATGTATAATACTTCCGATAAACTTCCTACATGCTTATGTTTGAAATAATGAATGCATGATCTATATATAATTTAGCTAAATATCTTTCTCGTCAGAATTGGTCATCCCAACGATTATAAATAAACTCATTTAGAAATACATCATTATTTCAGGACAAAGTCGGACAGGTTTGCAACAGCCAATCAGCTGTAACTTTGGAGGAAGGGGCGGAGCATCTTTTCTCAGCCGGGAAAAAACGCGCTATAGTGATTTTCCCTTTCGTAGGAGGTCCCTGACAGTGGGAGTCAAGAAGATACAGTTGTGTTGAAGGGTGTTAGTGTTGGGACACTTACAGAGTTTATAGGAAAAGATGTGTAGGTCATCCCCAGCCTCAGATACATGCCAGATAGGTTTGTATCCTCACCTAATGTGAGCAGAGACATTAATATTCACCCTACAGGTTTCAACCAGACAAAGGCTGCCTAAATAAGGCCAGAAGGTGTGATTGACTTGATGTCATCTGTAGGAACTGCAAAGGATGAAGCACACAACTTTTGAAAACTAAAAGGGTTTTTAATGTGTGTAACCCTGCTTTAGGGATAGTACACAATGAAACTGAAGCCTCACTGGATGTTGAAGCAAATCACTGTCATACAAACCTCACAGTAATGACTGAGTTTAGGTGTAACCGGCCAAAAAGTTATTATGACCAAATGAATATCATCCAATGAGGCTGGATAATAAATTACCTACTGCTAAACATATCAGGGTGCTCTCTAGCAAGTGCAAGTTCTATCAGAGATTTAGCAGCATGGATCTCACAAGTCAATGATTTGCAGGCTATGAAACAAGATCATGGCATTATTATGTTATTTGTTTCAACTGAATATAATCAGTATTACCAAGAAATGTAATGGTAAAGTTTATACCTGAAAGGCACGTCTGTCCGCTGCAAGCCTTTTAGATGCTAGCTGCTTGATGACATGATGCAAAGTTAGGAGAGTGCGGTGCTGAACTAACTGGTCATTACTCTTAACAGCCTCAAAGAGAGCAGGAAGAAGATCTGGCCACTCTCGTGGACAATCTACCCTAGCAATCTTGGCTATGAGTACAGCAAGCTGTGTTGCCACCTGTGGCACAGGTTCTCGGAGATTATGCAGAAGACCACATCTGATTTGTGTCTGAAAAAAAAAAAAGATATACAGTATATATATACTACATAATATATATATATATATATATATATATATATATATATATACATACAGTAACTCTCATACCTCTCATGAAGTTCTGTTGTGAAATATCTTGTGTAAATTTTAACATAACATTTGTACAATAGAAAAGGATATATTCACAAATCTTTGTTCAACAGCAAAAATTTTAATAAGTAAAATATATATAAAAAATACACCAATCACCACGTGCTGAATACAGCTCTATTCCAAGCCACCCAAATTACTCTCCCACTATTATTTATCACAGATAAAACAAAACAAAAAACAAAAAATCTATCCTAATCAAGTAACAATACTGTACAGAATATTAATTATCGCAAGAGATGCATTCCTAGAGCTCATTACGAATAATGAATTTTGTGAATATCGGTGCAATTTTACACGTAAGAATTAATGCAAGTAATATCTCTGCTAGCAGGGAGTTAAAACCTCAACGCGTCAAAGAGAGGACTCAGAACACGACTAACTTAAATGTTTAATACGCACACAGTAGGAGTATGAGAAACAAAATGGATGAATTCAGGGCATTGTTATGTACCAAAAAATCGATATACAGTAATAGCATTCACCGAAACATGGATAAACTCACACTCACGAGAGCTACCTGTTGAATACCAAATTGCAGGTTACAAATTATTCCATACGGATAGGCAGATTAGGAAAGGAGGCGGAGTAGCAATCTATGTCAAGGACAATCTGAAGTGTGAAATAAATAAGGAAATAAAAACTGAACTGAATACAGAAACAATTTGGAGAATTAATTGATGGTAGAGAAAAATTAATCACAAGAGTAATATATAGACCTCCTAATCTTGACAAGAGTTAATGAACAACTTATTTGGGATGAAATGCGCAGGGCTTCCAGACAGCAAAGTCTATATAGTAAGCAACTTTAACTTTAGCCAAATAGATTGGATTGACCTTACAGGTAACTCAGAATCAGAGGATTTTCTTGAAACAGTTCAGGACTGTTTCCCCAAGTCAACATATACCTGAACCCACCCGGGGTAATCATATACAGTATTACCCCGCTTTACACGGTTTCACTTTCTGCGATTTCTCATTTACGCGGTACCTTGCCATAACCGGACTTTCACTTTCCGCGGTGCACCTACTCATATACGCGGTGAAGTATAATTTTTTTTTTTTTATTTAGCTCATAAAATTCATACAAATTACCCGGCCAGAATATAATTTACATTGCTGGAATTCTTACAATATGATCATTATTTTGAATATAAACATCATGGATTTTGCATTAGACATAAAAATTTTAGATCTAATGTAATAATTTGGTTTACACAAAGCAAATATTTTATCCTTTGTGCAGAATATATGAAGTTTACATTCAAAATATTCCCTGACCTGCAAGGAATCCAGAAATGTCAATTATATTATCCTAACTTTAGTCTGAGGTATTATTTATTACTAAAAGTTAAAATCTAGTTTTTTCACCCAAAATTTCTCTGGTAGGGAGGGAAGGTGGGGGTAGGGGGGAGGGTTGGGACCGACCGACCCAGCTGGCGTGAGTGTGAGGAGGAGGGGGGGAGGCAAGGTGGGGTACTTTGATTGACAGATAGTGTCGTGAAGAATATTTTTTTTTTTTATTAACTGAAGATATTTGTTTTAGCTCATAAAATTCATACAAATTACTCGACCAGATTATAATTTACATTGCTGGAATTCTTACAATATGATGATCATTTTGAATATAAACATCATGGATTTTGCATTAGACATACAAATTTTAGATCTTTTGTAATAATTTGGTTTACACAAAGCAAATATTTTATCTTTTGTGCAAAATATATGAAGTTTACATTCAAAATATTCCCTGACCTGCAAGGAATCCAGAAATGTCAATTATATTATCCTAACTTTAGTCTGAGGTATTATTTATTAGTAAAAGTTAAAATCTAGTGTTCTCACCCAATCGTTTCTCAGAGAGGTAGGAGCTAGTGAGCTGGGAAGAGAGGGGGGAGGGGGATTTGAGTCCATTATTTGAATGGAAATAAGCCTGGTGACTGTATTTCTCTTAAATATTAATTGTGTGAACATACCATCATAAAATTTAGATGTTATTTTTACTACAACATAGTTATTGTGTCGGAAAAAGTGGAGTTTGGGGGGTCGGGCCAGTCTCTATTGGAATTAATCCCATATGTTCTGTTGTTCACTTTCCGCCGTATCCTGTGGGTTCAATTGAACGCGTAAATCAGGGTACTACTGTACTTGATTTAGTTCTGTCAAACAGAGAAAACCTCATTAGAAATGCCGAGGTAGGGAACGAACTTGCCAACAGCGATCACAAAGAAACAAGATTTCAATTAGAATTTAATGGCAGAGGCAAGGAAAATTCAATTAAAGTCCCTGATTTCAGAAGGGCAAACTTTGATAGGTTGAAAAAGCAGCTGAGAGAAGGGGTATCACATTTGGGGATGGAGTACATGACCTCACATGAGGTGACCTCAGACAATGTACCCACACAGGGCGACCTCACTTTACCTGGAGACCTGACAACAACATCCTCACAAAATATGACGGTTGAGGATGACTTGATCACGAGATCTGAGGTTGACGAGTTCCACAACAATTTAAATAACGAGTTACTTAATGCACAAAGGCAGAACATACCATATGGAAAACTCAAATCAGACAACAATGACCCTAAATGGATAAACAATTATTTAAAGAATATTATTGGACAAAGGAAGGCTATAGGTAGAAGAATAAATCGTGGTGAAGTTTACCTCCGAAATTATTACAGTATAAGGTATTGGACAGTAGGGTTAAGACTGAGATAAGAAAATCAAAGAGGAATAATGAGCTGAAGATAGCAAGGGAAGCAAAGTCAAACCCTAAGAGATTCTTTCAAATGTATTAAACTAAAGCACGAGAAAAGATTGGACCAATACAGTCATATACCGGCGAGCTAACTGATAACGACAGAGAAATGAGCAATAAAATCTGAATAAATATTTTTCAACAGTTTTCACCACCGAAAATTTGAACATGATACTCGAGGCACCGACTATATACAGAGATAGTGAAGAAAAATAGATAAAGCGAGATAGTAGTGACTGGTAACGACGTTAGTAAGTGTATAGACAAGTTAGAGCCTAATAAGTCGCCAGGTCCCGATGAGATATTTGCCAGAGTATTAAAGGAATGTAAGGGAGAGCTTAGTATGCCCAGAGGAAAATTGTTTAACATGTCCTTAAAAACAGGTGTAGTACCAGAATCCTGGAGGATAGCGAATGTAATACAGGTTTTCAAGAAGGGAGATAGATCACTATCCTCTAACTACCGTCCAATCAGCTTAACATCAATTGCAGGCAAATTACTGGAAGCAATAATTTCAAAATCTATTCAAAATAACCTGGAGAAGCACAAGATGATCAATGATTCCTAACATGGCTTCACAAATTGACATTCAGGTTTAACATCTTTTCAGCTGTTTTTGAATGAGTGGATGAGGGGCACGACTATGATGTGGTATATCTTGACTTTAACAAAGTCTTCGACAGAGTCCCCCACGAAAGACTAATAAGAAAAGTGGAGGCTCATGGCATCGGAAGAGATATTCTAAAATACATTAGTGCGTGGTTACAGGACAGAAAACAGCAAGTGAGCATTAACGGCACTAAATCCGATTGGAGTAACATCACAAGTAGAGTACCCCAAAGCTCAGTAGTTGGACCATTATTATTTATTAAACAGTGGTCCCTCGGTTAACGAGAGGTTCGATTAACAAAATTTCGGCTAACGAATTACCTCCCATAAGGATCTTCAATTTGGTTAACGAACAAAACTTCGATTAACGAAATCCTTACGACAAACACGTTTTGTTGTGAGCATCAGCTGATGGGCTATTCTGCCAATTCAGTAATCTGTTCTATGTTTACATTCGTTTCCAGTGGAGTAAATATCAAGAAAGTTGTGCTCTTGAATATTTTTGCATTTTTTATATTAAAATTATAAGTCATTTTAAAATTTAGTTTGCATATTGATAATATATGCGGTACAGGGAATTAGTTTTTTGTGCGCCCATCAGCCACTTGACTCACCCACCAGGCGTCAGTTTGACTTTGTTTACAGTAGAGTGAACATTGATTTTGTCGGTGTCTTGAATATTTTTGCATTTTTATATTAAAATTATTGGTCATTCTCAAATTTAGTTAACATATTGCTAATATATAGCACAATGCAGTGTTGATTTAAATAAAATAATCTTGAATTACAGTACACCTAGTAAACTTAAAAATGTTTTGGTGAAATTACTGCATCAAGCATGGGTCCCCTGAAAGGTGATTTCTCCTCCATCCCCACTTCCTTCTCTTCTCCCTTCTCCTCCACCTCCACTTCTAATTCCCATCATCATCGTCAGCCAGGAACCTTCTACATACACACCACAAAGTAAGTGTACTTTATTGCATATTTTTTTTTTTTTACTTTGTATGTACTTTTCTGTGAGCTGGAACCAATTACCCAATATCCCATTGAAACAATGGATTCGGTTAACGAACGACTCTGTGGAACGAATTGTGTTCGTTAACCGAGGGAACACTGTATACATAAACGACATAGATATCGGCGTAGACAGCAACATAAGCAAATTTGCTGATGACACTAAAATAGGGTGTGTAATTAAAACTGACGAGGACCACAAAACTACAGGAAGATCTAAAATAATTTTCGAATGTTCTGAAAAATGCCAGATAAAATTCAATGTGGACAAAAGGTAAAGTACTTAGTCTAGGAGATGTAAACAGAGAAACCAGATATCAGATGAACAACGATGTTATAGAGAAATCTGAATGTGAGAAAGATTTAGGAAATTTTAAGCCAAGTAAACAATGTGTATTTGCTCGAAACAAGGCTAATAAAGTACTTGGGTTCATCCAAAGGAGTGCTAGTTATAAAACTAGAGAGGTCATCCTGAA